TCAAACAGCAACATCTGCCTATCCCAGGTCCTTGGGAAGGACTCGATAGGTGGATGAAAATCTCAAATCCATCCTAAACATCTGGCTGACTGTGTGACCAACCATGATAATAATTTAATCCAACAAATATCATAGTCTTTAGACTGGATATTTTCTGATTGTTCGAGTTCTAACCAACAGTCTAGAAATCATGGAGATATCATTGTAGTATGTAGGAAGTTCCAGGTAAGATGATTTTTTGTAAAGTGAGTGGTGCAAAGTCCAGTAAATTTTAAATGCCCAAATATATGGTAAATTCCTTTGATATGAAATTATTATCATTATCCTATGTATGTATTCATTTATGAAAATAAAAAATAAAAAATATTATTATTATGCCTAAAGGAGTGGGTACAAAACCAATAAAAACAGTTTGATAAAAGCAATCAACAATAAAACAAATTCACTCAAAATAAGATAATAAAACAATATTAGTTCGTGAAGGGTGTGGAAACTTTCTCACTTTTCAGGAACTGGTAATACAAAGAGGTTTATTGGTAGGGAGAATTTGTGTGTGGTTGTAGTGGTTACCCCAAAACGTTTTGGGAATTTTATAAAAAAAAAAGAAAGGTTTGCTACTCCCTAGAAGCAAGTGACAAACAGAGAGCTGTATAAATACATCACAAATCTGTGATTGAAATAATAGCTATAAAACTACGGGTTTATTCAAAGGCCATTAAGGAAAGTAGCTCATAGACATACAGCTGACACGATAATTGTCACCTCTCCCCTAGCAATGCTGATAATGGTATAATAACAAACTTTGTACATCTGAGCCTCATCCAGGGAATTGTCTATAACGGTGTCTGTGGGTGGGTTTGGTTATAAACAACTGCAGTATATCTCAGAGACTTTCCTAGATTACTAAACTCGGGCAGTTTGCAAAGAATTGACTAAACTTAGCCACTTTGCAAGGGTGTTCTGAAGGGGGGGGCTGTCAAAAAAGTCAAGATGGAGTCCATGATTGTGCAGTTGAAGCCCCATGGCTCTTTTATGTCCACTGAGGTGCTGACCAAAACTCTCAAGCTGACCATCACAAAGCAAAGTGTCATGATTACTAATAAACTGACTGAAATAGATTCCTATCTAATGCACTATTTGTTGAATATGGTTTGTTGAACGCAAAAGGCAAGTTCACAGAAGACACTGAGCCCACACCAACCGCACAACAGTATGGCTTTGCCAGATGTGTGGAAGAGGCCGTGTATATCTGTGACCAAGCTCTGTTCAATGAAAGCAGCCTGAAAGGTAGTCAAATATCTTGGAAAGCCAGTACGCTGAGATTCTCGGTGTGAAACATCTGTAGCAGATCAGACTGGATGTCTGGGAAAGGGAGGGTCAAAAAAGTCAAGGTAGCAGCCACAACCACACCATCAAAGCTACTGCCTTGAATTTTTTGACCTCCCAACCCAGCCGGTAGATGCCCCTGAGCTTGGAGGAAGAACTTTTCAGCAGAATTTTAAGTCCTTTCTGGGGCACTGTTTCTCCATTTCAGCCACTATAAGATGTGTGGACTTCAACTCCCAGAATTCCCCAGCTATTATGCTGAGTTGAAGTCCACAGATGCTGGTTGGGGAATTCTGGGCGTTGAAGTCCATAGATGCTGGTTGGGGAATTCTGGGAATTAATTTCTTCTGGAAATTAAGTTTCTCCATCTTAAAGTGGTTGAGATGGAGAAACACTGTTCTCTGGACTTGGGGAGAAAAGATCAGAAAATGCAGCTATAATGAACCTCTCTGATGAATGGTAAACAAGACCACATGTCATGCAGGTGATTTTATTCTCCGTAGCAACCAGCGTGCCTTTCCCTTCCTTCGACACATTGCTCCAGGCAGCTGAGCTCTTTGCAGTTCCTAGTTGGCCCCTGGACTCTGTTTTTCCCACATGGTGCTCTTTCATTGGCTGGCTCATCCACAGGCTATTTCATTTGATCATAGCAGCAACAGGATTTCTCACGGAGAAATAGACCTGAGAAGATCCTGATGCCGAAGAGAGAGGGAGAGAAAATAGCCTTCTCTGGAGGAAGATCAGGTTTTAAAACATTGCCCTGGCTGAGACTTAGAGCCCTACGCAGCGCAGCTTGCTTGAGCAGAGGCTGAAATCTTGCCAAGTAAGTACACTTTCAAAACTCAGTGGATGAAATGGAATTAGGTTTTATGGGTAAAAGCAGGAAAGTTGAGGTCATTTTCATATACTTTGGGAGGAAACTCAGATCTAGTATTCTTTAGACTGGAAGTATAGGCTCCAGTTCTCTTCTCTTAGATGTTTTGCATCTGTGTACGTTTGGTAGCTATTCAGGCACAGAATAAATCCACATCTGTATCTATTTATTGTTTATTTTTCTTTCCTGTTAATACAGTTGAATTCAGTAATATTTAATAACAATATTCCCTGGTGTCCTAACTACATAAAAGAATAAAATACAATAAGATACAGAATGGCAGAATTGCTTTGACTTTGTTTTCAGGGCAAAGAACTATTCAAACATTGGTAAATCTACCCATTTGAAATTTATGATCAAAATTGCTAACAATTCTGTTGGAAGAGCTAGATAACAAGCTCAAGCGAAAGCATTTTCCCCCTCTATAGGGTTATTATAGCTTTCCAATTCCTTGACAAGCCAAAAGTTGAGATTTTTAATGCAGTAACATTTTATATGTGGTCACAAAAGTTGTAAAAAAATAAAAAGAACTGTGGTTTAGATAGGACGCTTATCAGATGCTTTCCATCAGCCTTTGAGCTGAAGTATATGAAATAACAGAAAATTTTCCACCAGCTCTGGGTGGTTGGATTACAACTCTCCTTCTCCTTCCAAACAGGGCCTTAAATTCACCAAGTTTTGTAAATTCACTGTAAGCATAAGAACTGCAGTCACTTTTTTTTCTTTTGCTGAAAAAGACTATAGCCCCAGTGCCAGGAAAGCACAATAGAATATCAAAATCTTACCACAAATGAGCAGTCACCTTACCTGTTTGGATCATCACGCTGCTGGGGACAATAGGTGATTGCACTCCAACATGTCTAGAGGGCACTGGAATTAGGGAAAACTGGAGTGAAAGAAGCCATAGTAACTCCACCTAAGGTAGAAGGAATTTTCTCTAAGGGAAAATAGCTGCTAAGAAGAGTAGTTGGGAGTGGCAACAAAGCCAAGAAGGAGAGTGAAACTTACCTCTTTTCTACTCAGCAAGAGTGAGGGTTTTGTGGTGGGCAAATCTGCAAAGAAATCTTAAGGGATCTGCTGGTCAGGGTTGAAAACATTTTAGAATCCTATCAGAAAAGAGTAGGAGCTATCCATTGGGAACTTGCAAACAATAGTGCTAAAGTAGGCTTTAAAATCTGAAGCTATAACAGGCTACATAGTGAAGATTTTTGCAATAACTGGAATAAAGATGTTAGGGAGCTTCACTATTGGGCATTATTGACTTGAAACTTCAGATAGGGAAAACAGGTAGACAGTCTTCCTCACCTGGAACTTCTCCAGATTTGGATATCTCCAATGTTGAAAACTTTAGCCCACGCCTTCTCCCAGGTTTCCATATCAACACAATCCTTCTTATTGTTTGAACTGTTCATTGTTATTTTATTCAGTACTCATGCGACTTCTGCACACACAGCAATCTGTGACTGCCACATATGGATTAAGCAACAGATCAGATGATAGGGCTGCACCACTTTCTGGTGGTGATCTGGGTGAGAACTTCAGCAAAAGTTCAGCTGACTCATGCAACTGCTGATGGCAACTGATGTGCTCATATTAGTTCATCCCATGTGGTCATGCTGAGTAGTTACGTTTAGCGTAAAGCAGTGTTGTCCAAACTTGGCCACTTTAAGATGAGTGGACTTTAAGATGAGTGGCTGGCTGGGGAATTCTGGGAGTTGAAGTCCACTCATCTTAAAGTGGCCAAGTTTGGACAACACTGGTGTAAAGGAACAAGATCACAAAATATTCCACAATTGATATGGTATGTCATAGTACATGTTGTAGCTACCAAAAGCAGCAGTCCAATCAATTCTACCAATATAAAATGCAATGGGATCACCTTACATAGAGGCAGGCAACATACAGCTCTCTAGATGTTGCTGAACTACAATTCCCAACAACTCCACTCAGCATGTCCCATGGAGAAGAACACTAGTAGTTATAGTTCACCAACATCCATAGTTGGCATAGGTTCTGTGCCCCAGTCACTGCTGCTAATAGAGTGGGACAATGGAAGGTTATTCATTGAATGATATAGTAGATCAGTCTTTTGTAGCTGGACACCTTCTAAATGCATCTACTGTTGGTTAAGTGGGCTGCAGGTTTGGAGGACTGTGTTCCAATATAATTGAGAATGCTAGATAGGGGATTTCCCATCATGCTGAACTCCTGCCCATTATCCTTCTGAACAACAACAACAACAAATTCATAATTAGTCCTGTCTAAAGTTTACTGTCAGTAATTTTTCTGTCATTAGAGTTTGTACAGCCTCATCCTCCTTCTGTGGGCAACCTAGTAGAGCAGTGTTCCTCAGCCTTTGCAACTTTTAAGATATGTGGACTTCAACTCCCAGAATTCCCCAGCCAG